CTGCAGTACTGCAGGGGGGGGCCTGCAGTACTGCAGGGGGGAAGGGGCGGGGTCCCCCGAAGCTACAGGAGGCTGTAGGAGGAGGCTAATTTGAATCACCAAACCTTAGTTAATTAACAGAGAATATGGGATTCGAACCCATGATGGTTTGAACCATAACTAGTTTCAAGCTAGCCACCTTAAACCACTCGGTCAATTCTCTTTAATTCTTTCAAGACTCGAACTTGAATATCATTATTATCAATAATGCACTTTACCAGTTAAGTTAAAGAATCCTAAAGTAAGTATTAAAAATGAGAAATGGGTGATTCGAACACCCAACCTTCCGTGTGTAAAACGGTTGCTCTACCAACTGAGCTAATCTCTCTTAAATTTAATTTTTTTTTGATAGCCTCCGGCTCAGAAGCGTCATTATTTGGCTACTTATGAACAAGGCTAAATTTTATTTAAAAGCTAAAAAGGAAAACCAAGAGCATGACTTAAAATACGAGCTAAACTAAGAGGGCCCCACGAATACCCCACACACACTTCGTGTGTGTGGGCCGTATTCGTGGGGTCCCCCGATTCGAGGCCCCTTCGGCCTTGAATCAACCCTTCCCCCCTGCAGTACTGCAGGGCGGGGGGACGGGTCGATTCTACGAGAGATATTTGTAAGTTTTTATATGGTTTTTAGTTAGCTAGCTAAACGAAGTTGTGCTGCTGGGATCAATATATTTTTGATAGTTACAGCTAAACGAAGTTGTCCTCGTCCTTTTTTATTCTTCTCTAACATTTCATTTCTAATAGTTCTTCAACAGTCATATCTGCTTTGCCTTACTATTGGGGGCTGGCGAAGCTAGCCTCCTCAGTACTAGTAGCTTGCTTTAGCTAAAGCAAGCAGCCAGAAGCTAAAGCTCCGGTGGTTATATATCCTCCGATTTAGTATTTTTCATTCTACCTCCCCTCGGTTTTGGTTTCCCTCGTATTAGGTAAGGCTCCGCCTCAAGAAGCATTGGGCCCGCCCCGAAGGGGGGCGGGGTCCCCCGATTTCATTATCATCACTATAGATCCAACCATAGCTAATAGTAAAATAAAGCTAGCTAAGAACAATCAGATACTATAGTTACTATACATTACGTTACCTATAGTTGTTATATGATTACTTTCTGCCAAATTTCCATCTCATATTTTACTAGTAACAAATAATAAGTCATTATTTTTAGGCTGCAGTGAAACTGCGGGAGTGGTATTAATTCCAAAATTTCCGTTATTTTGTTTATTCATAGAAAGATTATATAAATTATTATTTATATTACTACTAAAATTACTTAAAATAGCTATATCATAAGGTAACAATTGAAATAAAGAATAACTAAGAGAAATTCCAAGAATAATTGTTAAAGGTATACTATTATTAGTATTACTTTGAAGTTCACTTATTCTAATATTTATCAGCATTAAAATAAATAAAAATAAAATAGATATTGCTCCTATATATACTATTAAATAGGCTAAACCTATAAAACTTAAACCTAATAGAATTAAATAAGAAGAAACACTAGCAAATAACCCTATTAAAAATAATACAGATATTATAGGATTTTTATTTACAATTACAGATATACCACAAAAAATCGCGAGTATAGATATTATATCCAGCACGCTCGATATATAACCATTTGTGAAACTTTCGTTTATCAAGAATAAACTGTTCATAATAAATAAAAAAAACCTTTATTTTTTGGTCACCCTTACCCCCGCCCCCCCGTAGGAGGGGTCAGCATAGTAAGGGTGAAGCCGTAGTCCCCCCTCCTCCTCACCTTTTTTTTTTATTCAGGGGCTGACCCCCCCCTCTTCTCAAGGTCCCCATCACATTTAATTATGCCCCCCCTGCAGTACTGCAGGGCGGGGAAAGATGGGGCCCGCATTACTAAGGCTGAAGCCCTAGTTCTCTCCCCCCTCCTAATCCCCC